TAACGACAATGTCAAGTCATTTTTTTTCGCGATCGCTGCCCACACAGTACCATTGAAAGAATAACGATATTTTAGTCTCAAAATGATCGAGACATTATTGAACTCCGCTCGTTTCCTCTCAAATGTCTAGTATTAAAGGGAAATAACTATTTTAATTATGGTCAATAAATGGATACAGACCACCATTAATTTTCCCATCATTTTAGACCCTTTGCCCGGCTCCAACTCTTCCGAAATGTTTGCTGGTCTGCACGTACAGATTGCGATGCAACTGGCCAAGTATTAAAGAGAAATAACCCTTTTGACATGGTCGATAATGGATACATGTCACCATTAACTTCCCCTTGCTTTTACTGTTAAATTCTGATCTGTTTGCCCGGCTCCTAATTTCCCCCAAATAGACACATAGCACCAAAGAAGAAGAAGAGGTTCTTTGTTAGTCGTACTCCGATATATCTGACCAATTTTAGAGTCAATCTTTAACTCAGTAACCAGCTTGGTCAGTTTCTTGGTGCATAGGAAAAATTACTAATACAACAACTATAACGTTTTCGTATTGGTGCCATGCTTTCATATGGAACCTATCTTATACAAGCCGAGGACTGACTTCATTTTGCGCCACTGTTGTTTGTATTGTGTAAGAATCCAACTGTCTATTATAACCCAATACTTACTAATTCGCGATATTGTTAGGCATTCGAGTCTATGGCGTTTATTATGAAATGGTAGACTCGGCTGAGTAGTGTGTATTACGATCGGTTGTTGAAAGTTAAGCACTTCTGTAACAGAGTGATTTATACCTGAAGTTGACGTTTATATTATGTTCGTTATTATAACCTGGTGTGACAATCTGATCTATAACTGAAGTTGACGTTTAAACTCTCGACAACTTCTGTGAAGACACGTTCTTAATAAACATCTAGTTAATTCAAGATGTTCTTCAACAAGCTACACATGATCCGCGTGTAAAACTAGACTGAACTTCAAAGAGAATGTATTAGTTGTCAGTTCATTATACCTTGACCCGACAATGACTTTTAAAGAAATATGCAGTTTAATTTCAAACACCATAATTGATAATAAACAATACCATATATGAATATCACTCCTGTCCACCTCAGCTAAATGTTAGAGGCTTTATAAGCAGACGTTTACTGACAGCAAGTCAGACTTGGAATAGAGCTCCCCCCGAGTTCAGCCGCTGCCTTGGCAGAGGGGCGGAATGGTTGATTCAAGATTGTTAGATGTGTTCCTGTCGTAGACTAGTTCTTGAATAGTTCAAGTACCGTATTGTTGTATGTATGTAACTATAGCTGTTATATGTTCCCGTTGTAAATAAATGCTGTATTTACTAAACTGTTCTACTGTTATCACTAACGATGGTGTTACACTTCCATCTTTCTTCTTCTTCTATTGATGTTTAACGTTCGCTTCCACAGATGGTGATATCGCAGTCAAGTTTGCTTTTTTATGCTTAGCGTACGTAGTACGTACAAACCCACGAGTATGAGACGGCTTCCTTGTCCCCACGCTCACATTGGGGATCGAAACCACGACCGCAAGTCTGAGGTGACCGTTCAGCTAGACTCGAGTGCGACACTCTAGACCATTTTCGTCCCATCCGAACGACTATACAGTCCCTTCATCGGAGCAGAGCAGTAGGATGTTAAAGTCCAGTTCATTTCTTTTCATATGGGTCTTGTATTTTTCAAATACTTTTATGGCTCACTCATTCTCAAAAACGATAATACACTGTTATACCCGGCTCCCTAAAATGGAGCAGAGGCATTGTAAAAACCGAACGGTATACCTCAAGTGTCGGGCTTTGTAAGTTTACATAACGTTATATTTACTTCTGTAGGTCAAAGTAGTTGTTGATGTTTATCAACGATTTTCTTAACCCCAGTGAACAGTCTCACAATTTTTTATGTGGTCGTATGTTGTCCATTCGTCGGTCGTCTGCCATTGGTTGGACACATCCTATGAGGGAAATTTTGCCTAGACAGCTGCACTACGACCTACTCTTATATCGAATTCCATCTGTCAGTGTATCTTTTACGTGCACGCCAATGTGTACACGGAAACTCGATTTTCGTCTCATCAACGATTTTTTTTCTAACCGAAATGAACATTCAGACACGTTTTCTTTTTTATGTGGTCGTGTATATGTGTTTATGTTTTTGAGATGAGGAATCCTATTTAATTTCGACGATTTCGGATGACACCGAAAGCTATAAAGTTATCGTCTGATTACCGGTAGGCCTATATATTTTGTAAAATAATTATATGTCAGCACTCTGAAGAGCCAGAAACCAATCACATTTTAGTTATTTTTGATAGATATATCATAGGTTGTAGCTGTTACCTTAGATACGTTTTTAGTGTCGTGGGAACCACGTGGCTAAGTGGGTAAGACGCTGGCCGGGTGCTCGATCTCTGCATTGGCCGAGTAAGTTCATCCAGATTTTCCGGCGTGGTTCCCCCGTGTTAGTGATGTAGGACGGAGGGCCTGACAAGGACATCTGTCTAGTCGTTCGGATGGGACGAAAAACCGAGGCCCCGTGTACACATTGGCGTGCACGTAAAAGATCCCTTGACAGTTGGAATTCGATATAAGAGTAGGCCGTAGTGCCGCTGTCCGGGCAAAATTTCCCTCATAGCACACTGTATGGCGTATGCCCGTCTTCATTAGCCCAGTTCGGAGCAGAACAGTAGGACGTTAAACCTCATTTCATTTCATTTCATTTTTAGTGTCGTTACATATAAAATAATTTAAAACAACTGTCGGAAAAATGTTCTGGTTGCGTTTACAAGATTCTGTCAATCTAGACGTAAATGGGCGAGGGCTAACTCTGCAATGAAATGAAATGAAATGGAGTTTAACGTCCTACTGTTCTGCTCCTAACCTGGGCTAATGAAGACGGGCATACGCCATACAGTGTGCTATGAGGGAAATTTTGCCCGGACAGCGGCACTACGGCCTACTCTTATATCGAATTCCAACTGCCAAGGGCTAACTCTGCGATCATAATTGAGGAATATCAATAGAGACCTTCATGTTAAACCAAAGAAAATTCCCCGCAAAGCTGAAAAAAAATAGACAAGAAACATTTGAAGGGCTGTGGAGGCGACATTAAAATCAGATGATAGCTAGGCCTACATGAAATCTTTAGCGTGTTCACCAGACGTCGTGGACCCAGGGGCGGATTGGGCCCGAAGGGCCGGTCGGACAAAAAATGAAAAAAAAAAAATTTTCCAATTCGTCTAAAAACCCTTTTTCTGCTGAACATTATATGGGGGGGGGGGGTATTGGACCGACCATGGAACGATGATGATCATGTTGTATGTGGCCGGTGGCTTTAACGGGCCGCTACGCCATCACTGGAGTCTGGAATGGGCTGGTATAATAGACTTTCTGGGCCGGGTGTGCTGGCTGTGGGCCGGAATTCGGAATACTGCAATGGGGATTTCGAATTTCATCCGAAAATTTCATCGGATTCACCCAACACTGTTGCCCGCAAATTTACTAATTATTAAGTTACCTGCACCCTTCAAAAAAAATATTCAATTTTAAGGCCTCAGCAAAATTTGATGATAGCTGGTCTGCTGGCTGAATATGAGTGCGAGACGATTTCCTGAGGCTGGTGTTAAACAGGAGGAATCAACTAGCGCTCCCGGCAACAAAAATGGGACATTTTTCAATGAAAATATTCCTACTTATTCATTATTCCTGGTTAATTAAATGGTCAAAATTTTCTCAACTAGTCCCATTTTTTAACCAGTTAAATTCTCTCGACTCTTGATGATACAATGATAATACGTTAATTAATAATATGACGATATGATAATTTCACAGGTTGATGGTTGTAAATTACTTAAATTGCAGGTCAGGGTTTTGGCCTAAATTAATCGATTTATGAGATATATTATTTGTCAGAGATTATAATCAGATATGCCACCAAATCGCATATTTGGGGTTCATTTTTCAGTAAAAGGGGCCGCTCCGACACGAGAGCCCGGGCCGGTTCCCGGTCCCCGGACCCAATCCGCCCCTGCGTGGACCACGGACAGCCTACAGTCAATTGTACAAAATACTAATAATTTCATACTGCTCCGTTGCCTTTAACATTCTATTACCGGGTAGTTAAAGTAAGGAGTTTACAGAAAAGCTCAATAGACAATACATGATCGAATAGCGACGGATGCACTTTATAATAGCACACTGTATAATAATACATTTTAAAATGTTATTATATATTGATCGGAAAGCCTTATTTTGTTATGTTTCACAGCCGTACACCATATATTATATTACTATCATAACAAATTCTGTAAACAATGTACAAAACCTTGAACTTTTATTTATATTATTTCCTCATTCCGATCCGCGTTTCAGCAACAGTCGAGGCTACTCGCCAACCCGTGACACTAACACAGAATTATATAACGGCTTGCTTTTTTACCATAAATCTGATACATCTATTAACCCCCTTTAAAGGCTCAATACCACTCTTGGTGTAACTGAATAATATGTCCCAATCTTTATTCTGGTCAACAAATTGTACTATTTTAGAATATTTCAATTAATTGATGATACAAATTTCATCTTAACACACCTTATTTAAAAATTTTGAAAAATTCAACATAATGGTTTGAAACGTCTAAAGTTAACCTTTTCAAATGAAACTTCGATTTAAAAATATTTTCGAACCCTCTGAACAAGTAAAATAGGATGTAATGGATAATTAACACAACAGGTATGACACTTAAACATCTAGTACTTAGATAGAGATATTATTTATTTTCTGGAGCTTTCAAGCCAGCAAGAGTGTTATTGTCCCTTTAACTAACTGCATCTTCTGACGATGCAAAGCAAATAGACCCACGCGTTCTTCTACTTTTCCCGGATTTAAAAAAAGGAGGTTGCAAAATTAACCGATATATGGGGAGTTGAATCGATTTGAAATTCCTCTTCTATCTGTACTATTATAGCGTCGCAGGTAGACGAGAGCTGTTAGCGCCTGTTGTGTATCGTATTTAGTCCTGTCATGTTATCGAAGTAACTTTACAACTTGTTTTCCTGAGTAAGTATGGAATCGTTGAGCACAGAATCCGGTTGCTTTATTCTCGACTTTAGGTGCTAAAATTGATCCTGGCTATGTAAATCGATCAGATTTAATTAATAGAACTAACGACAGTTTATTGGATAACAGATTCGGGTTAAATCTCGAGGGTCATTGGGTTAGAAGTTCAAGGACGTTTCAACATTTTGGCGTGGTGAACGATAAACACACGTTACAGAACAAATATTTTGAGGAGCAGAAAAACCTGTTATAACTGTTCATTTGAGTGAATTCAGTATTTCCGAATTTCATATCAACTATGTACAGAGGTTATTGTTTAGTTCCGTAAAACAAGTCACTCTTCAAAATGGATATACTGCGTAGTGGATTAAATGTGTTGCTTTTTCTGTGCGTTTCCCTGTGTTATTATGCATTTGGTGACGAATCCTCGCACCCAGAGAGATATCACGGTGAGTATACACTGCAGCTTATAACTTCCACAATTTTATAAAATCCACTCTGTTTATTAAATTTTCAATAATAAGTGCAGTAGAACCGCGCTACACACAAAACAAAATCGACAAGACAACCCTGCGGACATGAAGACAAACTACATCACATTACAAGAAATAAACAACAAATATCAAATCTTAGACTTAAAGTAGCTAAGTCTCTATCTCAATATCATCCAGTCTTACACATTGAAAGTATGAATTATTTGTCAATTCAAATCAACATTGATGTTGTGATCTTACCAGGAAAAGGCAGTCTAGCCAATATTTAAGACAAAATAAACATTTTACCATTACCATAGTGCGTTTTGGCGTCACTTGCAACTATAGTGACCAGAAAGATCGAGGCTAGACATATTCAACAACTCATGTCAGACGATGACGCCATATCTTATCTGGAGAGCCTGCTCAATAGACTGGAAAAACTAGACGCTAGAAATTGCTATAGGGTTGAGACTCATGCCGTATTTCGCTGGACATAACTGATCTGAAATTAGAGCCAAAACGGAAACAATTGAATGTAAATCTGTTTATATACAATCAGATAACATTATTATATGCGTTGCTACCCATTTGGGTCCATTTCTAGGGCCCAAATATTAGCGATTTAGCTCCTTTAAGTGAATGGATCCAGAAATGTATTAAAAGTATTGAAGCTGAACAGATCATAAACGGTTGACGTCAGATACCTTTGTAAGGTCACTATTTACCAGAAATGTTGACAAAATATATACCCGATTTTCGTATTATATTAATAATATGTCTATTTAATTTCAAGATAGGTATTAAAAACACAGTATTGGTGTGTGTAAGTGACAAGGAATATGGTTACCTGCCTAATGTTAAAGTAGCTAAGTCTCTAACTCAATATCATCCAAAGTCTTTGACATTGAAAACACGATTTATTTGTCGGTTTAAATCAATATTGATGTTGTGATCTTACCGGAAAAGGTGGGCTTTTAATATCCAATATTTAAGACAAAATAAACATTTTACCATTGGCATTGGTACACTAATCGTGTTCGATACTGCATTTCAGCGCCATTTGTAACAAGGGACTCGAAGAACGAGGCTAGACACATTCCACACAAGTCATAGTCATACCCATGTCAAACGGTGACGCCATATTGTGATCTGGAGAGCATGCACAATAAATACTATCGGCGTACACTGGAAACCAGACGCTAGAGATTGCCATTCGATTGAGACTTCTGACATATTTCGCCGAACATATTACATAACTGAAAAGAAATTACAGTAAAAACAGAAACGATTGAATTTAAATCAGTTTATATACATTCATAATACATTATTATATGCGTTGCTAACCATTTGCGTTAAATTTCTATATCCCAAATATTAGCAATTTAGCCCCTTTAATGTCTGTTATCTTGGATCCTATCAGGTTTATTTATTAGTTTTATACACTCACTGTGTATACATGTAGCTTGATTTTTATTACTCCAAATTTTTATTACTCTGTATATTGCCCTGGTGTATATGGATTTCAACCCATTAGTTCACAGTTCAAATAATATTCACTATGAGATAAATAATATTCAACAGTTGATCCATCCAATGTGTACATAGTATCTTAATTCTATAATATTTATAAGAAATTAAAATATCTGAAAATCATTTGACAGATTGTTAACCCCCTGCGAGAGGAAGAGAAATGGGGTTTAACGTCCACTTGACACAACTGGGTCATTTAGGAACGAACAAATAGTTCAATTTTATTTCAATAATTTGCTTGCAGGTAGGAGTCTTTTAGCAGTGGGAGGAAACTGGAGGACCCGGACAAAACCCACGACATCGGACAGGTGACCCTACTCCTTATAACTTTCTGATCCAATGGGCATGTGTTAACCATTCGTTTAAATCCCCCCCCCCCCAATCCCCTGCAATCTACAATATTAAGAAAATTGAATCCTATTTGTTGGTTATTTCTTGCAATTTCTGTGTGGTATGTCTTTTGAGTATGTTTGTCTTGTATTTTGTGTGTATTGATGTTCTCCTGAACTTACTTTTAAAAGGAAAATAGGGTTGGGTGGCCGAATAGTTAAAAGCGTATGCGTTAGATCACAAGGTATGTCATTGAGTCAAGTGGCGTGGTATCGATTCCCCACATGTACTGACAACGAGTAGGGTTGTCTGTCCAACCGCATGGGTTTTCTCTGGGTCCTCTGGTTTCCTCCCACTGCTAAAGACCCTCACTCTCAATCGAATTATTGAAATAAAAATTGAACCCCTTTAGTCACAAAATGACCTAGTTTGTGTCCGGATGAACTTTCTCGGCCAACACCAGGAGCGAACATAGGACCTCAAGGTTAGCGAGTCAACGTCTTTCTCAACGGCAAAGGGGAATTTTAACATCACTGCATTGCTCCCGTCAAAAGGCAAAACCTAGTAACTCACTTTTTTATCAAAATTGAGTTAGGACCAAATTTTTAGTTCCTAGGGTATGTGCTTCATGTTTTTGTACGAGATATTTCAATCTTTTGATTTTGTAAGCAGTAACTCAATAGTCAAATCAATGGATTAGCTGGGGTTTAATATTCATTCATTACGTTTTCCTTTGTTTTCTCAAAATAAGAAAAAAGTGAGTTACTAGGTTTTGCCTTTTGACAGGAGTAATGTTTAAAGTATATGAACCCAGATATCCACTTGTTATGCCTCTATCATCCAGCAGCAGAGCATTTTACCCAGGCAGCAGCTTCTATTTAGTTAAAACAAGGGGAATATGTTTAATTTCAAAAGATTCATTTACACCTATTAACCCATAATTAATGTTTTTTTTAATAAAAAGTTATCCTTACATCTAGCAACTGTCATAATGATTGACAGCTCATCAAGGCATAAATGTCAGTTGCGTGTTAATTTATTGTTTGGCCATGTTTTAAATAATTATTTTTGACAGCTTGAATCTCTTAATGCTTTGTGTTTTTATCTATGATTCTTTGAACTTTTTTCAACTTAGACTTTTGACTTTAATTTGCTGTTTATGTTCCTGTTTAACAAAAAGTACCCTAACATTTTGACAACTTAATTCAATTGTTTTTGAATATGAAATAAGGTTCCTGTTTAACAAAAAGTACCCTAACATTTTGACAACTTAATTCAATTGTTTTTGAATATGAAATAAGGTTAAAAGGGCATTATAGGGCTATAATAGTCACAAAAAAGATAATGAAAACAAAATATGCTGAAAACGTTAGTCAAAGAACTTCACTCTGAACCAAGATATTAGCCATTGAATTTTAGGCTAGTCTCGGTCGTCAAATCTGATATTGGTATGATAGCAAACAAAGTCTTGATTATCCATTTTTACGTTATATTATCCATCACAAAATGTATTCAAATCCAGTAAATATCGTAGGTTAACAATGGCATCGAGAGTTGATTATGGTCTGGATAAGTTAATTAATGCCCAATTAATAATTCACTTTTAAATTAAATCATTACATGGCCGAAGCATTTTAATCTACTTAAAATCAGAGCCATCCTATGGCCTAGAGAGCTGATTATGGGCTTGTCATGTTAATAAATGTTTAAATAATAGTTTATATAACATCTGAAGCCAAAATAAAAACCTGCAATAGGCAGATTTAGCTCTTACATAGTGCATCTTTAACTATAATGTATAAACCCTATCTGTACCATCGAGCAAGCAATCAGTCGATGATAGGTACAGTAGTAGTAGTAGGAAATGATAGATGATAATAATGAGTGTATTATCACATAATTTAACAACAAATTACGCCCTACAGGCAATACTATGATATTCACAGCGGTAATTACAGCAAATCTCCCTCTAAACATCTGTTAATGAAATTATTTATATCACAATATAAGATTATCTAGTTGTTGATGGATGTGTCATTAGTCAGTGACAATGATTCAATTCTCCTGTCTTCATTAGCCCAGTTCCGAGCAGAGGTTAAACCCCATTTCATTTCATGATTCAATTATCTGATTTTGATTTAGTCGTACTGTCAAATAAAATCTGTTTATTGCAAAACATGTCAAAATAGGAGATTTGGTGTATTGATATTTTTTTTCTGTGAATTTAGATGCCTGTATTAAAGATACATGTACATTATGGGAGATTCGATAATGAGTGGGCAGTTCTCACTATAATAGTTAAAAACTAGATAATGTAAAGGCAATTTGCTGAGAAATTCAGTCAAATTGATCCACTCTGAACCGAGAATTTAGCGATAAAAAACATAGTCTTGATTATCCATCATGAATGAACGTTGAGCAGTAAATATCACAGGCTAGCGATGACATCGAGAGTTGATTATGGTCTGGATAAGTTAATTAATATCTAATTAATAATTTAGATAACATTTCAGGCCTTAAGAAAGACCTGCAATTGGCAGATTTAGCTCTTCCATAATGTATGTTTAAATTACAGAGATGTAGATATATCCATCTTGTGCTGTGGTTTGTTATGAATTGCAAAATTTGATGTATTGTTGATTTCTGTGAAAGTAGATATCATAGATTATTTATTTATATATTGGACGCATCTTGCTCACAGATGGGGCTGTATTCAATTATACAGTTGATACAATCGTTTTGTTTTGGATTTTGACACAGTCTTGCTGTCAAGTAAAATCAGTATATTAATATGTTGCAATACATGTCACAATACTAAATTTGATGTACTGGGGTATTGGTATTTCCTATAAATTTAGATTGCAATACATGTCGCAATACAAAATTCATGATTTACATGTATAGGTATTTCCTGTGAATTTAGATATTATATCATAGGTTTTTTTAATTTGTATATTGGGGGGGAGTAAGACGTTGGTTTGCTAACGTGGAGGTCCAGTGTTCAATTCCTGCGTTGGCCAAGAAAGTTCATCAGGATTTCCCAGCATGGTTCCTCCGTGTCAGTAGTGCAGGACCTAGAAACTGGCAAGTGACAACGTATAGTCGTTCGGATG